AAATCAGAAATGATAGGCATATAAAGGGAGTTAAGGGATGTGACCATGAGGTAAACACCGACCTAGGTTCGCCGCGTGACTCTCGGCTTGGTTTGATATATTCAACTAAAGCTTTGGATATACGACTGTCATCGGATTAGTAAAGCGTGTATATCTGAATCAAAAACAACTTGTAGAATTTTGGCAAAGATAAGTGTCCTAAGACGACTATATTCGGTTATCATATCTAGGAACTTGAGGCCAAATGGAATAGCTCGAAGAGGTCATCTTAAAACACCGCCCCATTGTCTTTTTCTCTTTAATAGCATGAGATAGGTTGCCCTGTTCCCCGAGTCTTTAAGCTATAGCGAGAAAAATTGAAGTGAGATGAGGCATCGCACCATGGATGAAGTAGTTGACGTTGAAGGAGTAAAGAGAAGAAGCAAAGATCGTTCCAGCGTTCACGTGTTTTTCTCGTTGTGTGCGACAACGGCTGTGTTATTACCGGTCATGCTTGTTCCAGGCAAGCGTTTGTCTTGCTCATAACAGTATTGATCAACAGCAATGTTTGTGACCGTCTTATAAGTTATGAGAAGATATCGGATCTTATGACGCCGATCTAGGGATGAACATCGCCAAGCTATCCCGGTTGTCTTCGTTCAAATGCACGTGCTCGCAAACCGCAAACCCACGATAAAATGAATGAAATCGATTGATTGCGCCTCACCCTCCGTATCAGGCAACGGACGTGCAAAGAAGGTAGAAATTACTGTTGCGAGATCCGAATTAGATATGTGCCGACACGTATGAAAAGTTTTCTGATCGAGCGGCCTTCTGTGTATAACCGGACCAACACAATTTTAGAAACCAATAGCATTTATTGGAAGAACCAAGTATGCCATTACTGATATGAGTTTCTATCCTGCTAGGCTGTTGCTCCCTTCCTGTCGCATTGCTCATTACCGCTGAGTAGACACCAGAAGTAACTCTGTTGGTACATTAGCAGAGTGATTAAACTGGCTAAAAATGTCCTACTAATAGAAGGTAGCTGCTCTTGAAACATCCGAACGTGTCGATATTGCCATGATCTTCTGCCAAGGTTTTCATATGAGTCGTTTCGGCAACGTCCCTACCCCCAGGCGAGCCCATTCAATTTTCACCAAGAAGGCCCGCCTCTTGCATAGGCAGACACATGTTATTGTACTGCCCAAGAACTTTACGTGGCGCAGGACTGATGGAAGCCGCCTCTGTGTGTAGCGGACCTACTTGCGTTAAACTTAAGTACATGTCCATTCTTATGAGTTGCTTTTGAACGTGATAACCCGAGACGAGTGGGAAATTTACTCCTTCGATCAGCCACCGTGATATGTACGATCAGAGATCATACGCTCCTCTGATCGAGGCTGTTTCGGGCTGATCGAGGAGGCATCTTGTGTTGCTTTGATGGATGTTGGTGGTTTCCTTTGAAGCACCGCACCGCCAGAGTCCTCTTTACCCTACACTCTTTCAGTACCTTCAATGAATAATAATATTTGCGGCATTCGTTGAAGTGATTATTCATATGCGTAACTGAGTTATTGAAGTTGTGTATTCAATATGACTTGAACCTTGAACAAATTGAACTAGCTATCTAGCTACTGCAATAACGCCAGATTGTGGCTGTACACCGCAGACCAACACCGACAATGACAGTCCCCGAGAAGTAGATGCTGTAAAACGGTGACAAGTATATCTGGCTTCGATGCCGCATTTGACTAGAAGAGCTTTTGCCAATGACTGAGAATCGCATCAAACGCTTTAGCAAGCGATGGCAACGATGGCAGTGCTGCCTTCGCAAGAGGCTTGATGGGTATATGGGTATGTCCAGACCGACAGAAAACTACACCGCCACGTCAGAAATATCCGTTGCAGGCGCTGTATCCTTCCTCGTCTCGTTGTTGGTCAACATCCCGCATCATGTCCGCCTTCAACGGCGATTTCGGAAATCAGCAGGAAACAGCGTCTGTGGTTTTTTGGGGGAATTTTTTGGGTGTCTTTTTTTCATCATGCGAAGCTATGCGTAGAGGTTGTGCCCGCACGAGATGCATGCAGTACTGGTGATGACTTCACGCACTCAATGTCTTAGTCAAAGTACCCGTAGGGCTTCCGGGCACAACCAGTCCTTCTGGTGCATCCTAAAAGTAATTTCTGTTGGTGTCAGGCAGTCGTTCGAAACAACACAAATGTAGATGATAAAGGCTGGCATTCAGTTGGCTCCAAACCGCACAAATGCGCAAAGTGACTTTGGACACGCTGCAAATCCGCTGCGGAGCAAGATGCGGCCACCCACGGTGCTCTCTGAGGAAGTGAGCCTAGGGCCTGGGCGGTGACACGGCACTAAAATGGTTTTCCTACCTCACAATTGCGCAAATTGGCGTTCGACACGTTCTCAGCCCGCTTACATGTTAATCAGACTCCTCAATCATATGCATGCCAGCCTGCTTTGCTCTTAAATGCTTCATTACGTAGAACATCACGCTGATGAATTTACGACACCTTGAAGCTAGATATTCCCATCGAGAAGATCAAATACCATATTCACCAAATTTTCCAAAGTTACCATTAGCAGAAGTATTGCTGACGGCCTTTGACAAAGTGTCACGTGTCACCCACACATTCAATCAGACGGAGACTCGGTAGAGGTTCTTTTCTCAGCGGTCGCATCAGGTTATTCCGCCACGCAAGATGCTGTGCCCCTCGACGGAGATTTGAAGGCTGACACTTTCACGTCGTTAGGACAACATAGCATGCCAATACATACGTGTTCGCCCGACCAACGGCTGCGGCAGCGATTGCCACAACAAAGACCTAGACCGAGAAGCAGGCCCCAAAGAAGTCCAGTTGGAGATGATGCCTTTCATGGTGTAGCACCGGATTTCGCATTTCCAGCTCTGTCTTTGCTTTGGGAAAACCCTTCCAACAATCCGGGCGACCCAACTTTTCGTCTCGCCGATACAGGCCCCTGGTCGGCTGATTTCTCCTACACCATAGGTTTTCAGCCCAGCAGTTCCCACATTGATGGTTAGTCTCTAGCCCGTTGAAGTGAATTGTACTGAAACCTATCCTCAGACCCCCTGAATGGTACACTTCCTTCCCATGAGACTGTGCAGAATGCAGAACGCCATCAAGGTTGGGATACTCCTTATTCGAAGGGCATGATGCCGCAGATTGCTCTCTCCGAATTTATGATGAAAGACTCTCATTCATTGTTCTGTGAGCCAGTCACTCGATTGGAAACATCGTCTTACTTCCTGAATCTCAAGACGCCGACAAATCAGGGTGATCAGCTGACGACAAAGCACAATGACTGTGCATTTACACGGTTTGGTAGTCTACAAAGCGATCAGAGTATGACTCCTAGCTCCACGATTTTGTCCGGCTGTGAGAACCTAAGCACTAGACTGCCATCACACTTAGAGGGCTATCTAGGCGTAGCAGGTTGAATGGTACCGCGCATATTGGTGGGGCAGACTTGGAAGGCGCTATTCGCTGATGCGGTATGATGTTGGCGCCTACTGAAAATTGCCAGATCCTCAGCGTGATTGTGCACTAGTAGGCAATCCACAAGGCAGACCGCCTGATGTTTTAATTCCCTTGCATTGCTTGCAATGCTACTCGTAAGAATCCAGCAGCGCGCAAACCAATGGCCGTGCACATTCCACCCTTGGAAGAAGTGATTCCTATCCTCATACACAGGCACGCACGCTCGTGGCTAGACACCCGTCCGCGGGTGTTGTAAAATTTGCCCAAAGAAAAGAAGAAGCCCCTCTCCCCCTCCCCTTGGCCATATCACGCCGTGACTACAAATGCTGTATGTGATGAAGGGAAGCGTAAAGAACCGATGACAACAAAAGAAAGAGGGAACAGCAGTGATACTCTCTCCAGTCTGTAAGGGCGCCAGGGAATATGGCAAATGGGAGAGGATCGACCTTGGACCGTGGAAAGATTTTCACAAAGTATCGCAGATGTGCTTGCGTTTGCACCGACTATTCTCAATGGCAAAGCGCAGAAACCTATCTGAGTCGGCGGCTGCATGAGCTCTTGTGACAGCTATCGCATGCCATCCACTAAGAAAGGGCTGTTTGGCG